ATGACCTTTATCACAATATGCTAATTTTTTGAGAAGGACCTGTATATATTGTTTTCAATTCATATATATATATATATATTTTTTTTTTTTTTTCAATTCATATATATATATATGTATATATATAGCTTTTTTCAGATCAAGTTGAGGAAAAAAAAATTGGAATCATGAGAAAACCACTGTACCATTTTTTGTTTCACCTCCTCTGGCTTCTCTAACAGCATAAATTCAGTGAGGTGTGGACATAATGACAAACCGTATTCTTCATCAGTCTGACTTCAGCTGTCTTTTATCGTTGCTGCAAGATCAACTCTGCAGGTTGGAGCCTTGTCTTTAACCATGTTCTTCAATCTCCGCCAGATAATTTAAACTGGATTGAATTTTTGACTTCTTGCAAACCATGCGATTGAAAATAAATGCCTTGCAGTATTTTCACATGCCTGCTCTGTGGCAAGATGCATTATCACCAACACGACGTCATCATCACCAAACATCCCGTCAACTGACAGAATAAGAAGTGTCCAAAATTACAATGTAGACTTTCATGTAGATGTAATAATGACTGCTGCCTCCCCTGCCTTTTTACCTGACATGACCCTTTCATCCAGTCATCCAGTCTATGGTTGCTCTTTCTGTTTGTGTGTTAATGATGGTTTTTGATTGGCTTTTCTGTGTCCCATTCCCTTTAGAGAATTTCTTCCATTTCAGTCACAGACACTGTCTCCATTTTACTCATGCTTCTCATTGTTCATTCTGAAATGCTTTTATTTTGTTTAGTTCTGCATTTTCTGTGTTCAACACCTCTTTCTTTAATAAAGTTTTTTTTTCCTCCCTTGACACTTGAATTTCTTCTTTGGTCGATCAGTTTGCTTCCTTTTTACAACCTTCTCATTTCACTTAGTCCAGAAGATTTTAGACAGATGACGGAAAAAACCCAACAACTTTTATAAAGTTATGTGATATTTTACTGTATTTTTCAGCCTATAAGTAAAAAAGTTTTTGCATAATTTACATGCCCTGCGACTTATATGCCGAAGTGACGTATTTATGGATTTTTTTCCATATTTATTAACTATTTTTTGGCTGAGATATGACTCTTTTCATTCATTCTGACTGGACATTTTTTTGAACAGTACCACTTTAAGCCGCATGCTGTTCTATCATGTAATAGGTAAAACAGGTAAAACAAAAACAAATGGACTTTATTTATTATACTTTATTTCATATTTTATTGTTTTTGTCTTGAACTTTTTTGAATGTACCATGTTCTGGATGACTGAGAATCTTCACCAGCTATTAATGACCCAATCGGTTTGCCACAGTCTCCCCACCTTAGTTTTGCTCGCTGCTTGGACCGACCGTCAAACCAGCTGTACCGCCCGGCGAAATGCAGCTAATTTGGCCATTAAAGTGCATTTATTAAGTAAAAGTTCAACTGAGACACACCTTTGCCATAATTTCGAGCAAACAAATAATTGTTGTAGGAGCTTTCCTTGTTAAATTTCAAAGAAACGAGCAGCGTTCCTCCTTCCTTTTTTCCCTCTCCCTCTCTGCGTGCTCCCGGAGCACCGAGGCAGCGAATACTTTTGAAATGCAGCTGATTTGACCCTCAAAGTACATTTATTAAGCAAAAGTTAGACTGAGACACACCTTTGCTATAATTTCGAGCAAACGAATAATTATTTTTAGATGTTTATCTTGTTAAATTTCGAAGAAATGCGGAGGCTTATCCCTCTGCACGTGACCGCCGCTTCCGCATATCGGGTTTTGAAAATGCAGCTGATTTGATCGTCATAGTGCATTTATTAAGCAAACATTAGACTGAAACACACCTTTGCTATAATTTCGATCAAACAAACAATCATTTTTAAGTGTTAATCTTAATAAATTCTTGTTAAAGTGCACGCTCCCGCGACGCCATTTGGCAGCCCATTGATTTTTGACACAACACCGGCCCACATTTCTGGGTTGTCAGCGGTGACTCGTAAAAAACGTGACGCGTCAGCGGTGACGTATAATATATGTGACTTATACGGCGAAGCAACATATTTATGGATTTTTCCACTTTTTGAGACATATTTGGACTGATGCGACTTATATGGCGGTGCAACATGTATGGCGGAAATTACGGTACCTTCTTGAAGAGGCTTCACAGTCCTCTCTGTTCATGGTAATCTGCTTTGTGCAGCAACCCTGTAAACTGTGAGGTCTTTTTAACTGCAGACTAAATATCATTTAATCTGATTCAGGTGTTTTAAAATTACCGTTTACAAAGTGATTCCATAATTCTTTGTCTTAATGGAGTTATTCTATATGTTTTTTCTTGTACTTCATCTAAAACAGCAATTGTGACTGACTACAGCAATTATATATATTTTGTATCTAGTATAGTTTTGTGGCATGTCTGCTATTTAGTTTTTATACAAAATTAAACAACTGGGCATCTTCCAAGAGTAGTGATTCCACAATTTTTCATTTTGTACTATTAGAAACCAACAAAATTTAGGACAACATTTTCAAACAGCTAACGAAATAAATGTTTGTTTGTTTGTTGGGGGGGGGGGGGGGTGTTGCCATCAGTTATTTATATTTAGTTCCTGTCTGCTTGAATTTTGACTCAGGGTAACAAAAAAGACGTCTAAAATTAGATTGCATGTCTCATTTATAGCCTCAATTGAAAACCTAGACCTCACCTTGGTGCTGTAACAACAAGGTCACTTGGGTCTGTGGATTCATAGACATCCAGCCAAAGATGCAACAAGACTGTTACATCCAAATCTTAAAAACAGAGAGGAATGTTTTTCACCTGAGTTTGTATTGCCTTTTCACTTGTTAACTGTATTTCTTGCATACTTTTGTGGTTATCCTGATTCTCATTTACGGCTTGTTGGTTCACATTATTACTCCAGACAGATGGTCCATGTGTCTGTGCCCAGAGGGATCAAGACTTTTGAGCAGAGCTTGATTATTTCCACGTGTGTATGCTCCAAAAGCTTCAAGTGTTTGTTGTGTCAGTTATCAGAAAGAGTCCTGAAGATTATCGTATGTAGATGTTTACTCATGAAGAACTAACCCAATTTTAGGTCCTCAGCAGTTTGTGTGTTAGCAGGGAATCGCACGCACACCGAGTAGTTGCTGATGTAACCTGCTACATTCTGTACATGTTTCCATGACATAACACATGCAAGTTAACCACACAAAGGTTTAGTTTTTCATCAGAAGTCAGACTGGTATGAGCAACACTATATTTAGAACCAGTGTTGTAAAAAACATCTTTTTGACAACATTTATACTAATATTTTGGTAAAATTTGCTTATTTCCAGTTAGGCATCATACAAAGGAAATGGCGAATAATCTTGTGATTTGATCTTTCAATTCAACTAAACTGACTTGCAGAAAAGAGTGTTAAGGTGATTTAATTATTCCGTCTTTGTTTTTAAAGCTATATATTTGGGTAGTGATAATACACATATACTCATGCAAATACTCCAGGTTGAACTTTAACTGAATCTAAAACTGGACTCGTATGGAGTCTTACTGTGTTACACAAGCAGAACCTCCATCAGAAATATTATTTCCATCACATTCTTATGTCATTTCTTCAGCTGTAGCTACATTTACACATTGCATTTACAATCACATTTGTTGAAGCTATCTATGTTTTGATTAGCACAAACTAGCTAGTTGTGTTTTGTTGTTGGTACTGAATGGACTGCGTGTTTGCATTGTGCCCTGCAGGGTGTTTCACCTTCAGCGTGCATGCTTCATTATTACTTAGACAATGACTGATCCTTGAATAGCTGTTGTGTTGGTTAATTTTGGGTCGGCCACGTCATCTCTGCCAACGCTACATGGCTTTCCTACAAACTGCTTTTACACGCTGAAAGGCCTCGGAGTCTGAGCCTGTTACTATAGCAACCGCTCCGAAGGACAAAAGTGGAGGAGAGGAGGAGGGAACTGCTGACATGCAGTAGTAGGAGGGAGCATGCCAGCCATACTTCTCCTTTTTTATTGGCTGTAGACTTGTCTGTGAGCCCACCCATCCCACGTTTCATCAGCAACGTCCCTTCTGCTGCAAAACCCGTGACTGCTGCTGCTTCTGGTGTTGCCGTTTGCTCTCGCTGCTTCTCTATTCATTGACTTTTTTTGTAGGAGGTGCAGCGGTTCAGGTGTAGAGTCACTTCTGCTAAGAAAAGGATGTTGGAACGGGGAAGATAAAGGATCATTGTTTGACCTTAAGAAGACTATATTGGACCAAGGACAAGGGAGCAGAAGAAAACATGACCTGAAGCTTCTAATGGATGTTTTAATGAAAGAATTTGTTTTGAAGCTTTGAAATTACTGAGATAAAGTGATGGGCAGAAAGGACATAAAAGGACAATGAGAGACTGATAGAAGATGCAGCATTTTTACATGGTAAAGAATTCATAATGGACAAAAACGCGACAAAGTGAGGCTTTTGTTTTGCTATTTTCTGCCAGCTGATGATGCAAGCAATGATTTGATAGGCTCATATGCTGAAACAACACCAGCAAATAGGGCATTACATACTGACAAGATGCTGTTTGTAGTTGTGGAACGGAAAGGATAAATGATGAGAGTAAAAAGAATCTTACCAATGCTATGTGCTCACAGCTAAACATGTTGGGATCATTGGAGACAACCTGTAATTAATAAGACCCAAATCAAACTTGACTTTGCCTGATCATGCTGGGATATTGGATATACCAGAGATGCTAGAACTACGGTAAATATGATGCAACATCGGCACATTTGGCCGCACAAGTAGTGAGGATGAAGAGACGAGGTCAGTCCAGAGGCCAGAGGTTTGTCAAGGCTGACTACTATGAACTGGACTGGTACTATGAAGAGTGCAGTGATGGTAAGACCCTGCATGGTTACAGTTTTATGTATATAAGTAGTTGCTGCAGAGTTGGGTTGAGCAGTGATCTTGGCTATGAACAGTAGAAACAATAGGCCATTGATTTTAAAGATAAACAATTGCATGATAATTAGATGTTATGAATGGTAAAATACTACGTCTTACTTGTCATTATGAAGATTACACTGTATAAATGGAACAGTTTTATTGTTATTATTATTAGAGTATATGTAGAGTTTATAGGTGAGAGGTAGGCTATTTGCTGGACATGTTGCCAGTCCATCATAGGTCTATAACAAAAACAAAGCACAAGGTGTCAATTTAGAATTGTCATTTAATCAAACATGCATGTTTGAGAACTGTGGAAGGAAACCAAAGTAACTAAAGAAAACACACGAGAGAGCTGAACATGCTAACTCCACACTTACAGGCCCTAACTGAGATTTGAACCCAGGACTTTCTTGCTGCAAAGCAGTAATGCAAACCAACTGTGTGCCACCTTGCAGCTCTGTGAAAAGTTTAGAAATTCAAAATCAAACAATATATTGAAATGAAAGTAGCATTACTTGAAAGAATGGATATTGCACACCATCTTGCATGCAGCAAAGATCTCGAGCAGTCATTTAGTGCTTGGAGCACGAGGTGGAGATGGATCTTAGCTGCTGTACCCAGTGATCGAGTTCTGAGAGTTTCATTACTTTCTGAGCAGTAGTTCATGAGAGATTTTGCTAAATGAACAGACAAATAAACATACATATGCTTGCACGAGCAGACAATACCATTTAAAAGCTGCTATCTTAATCAGGCCATGGAATTCAATTCACAAGTTTTCAGTGGCATTGTGATCAGATTGTCATGGTCTCAGAAGGGTTAAACCTAGGAGTGCAGACTGTACACGAGGAGCTCAAAAATAAACTTATTTATTATGAGTAACAAAGCAAAAGTGCTGTCACAGCAGCAGGAACAAGAACCACAAGGAGCACAAGGAGATATAAGCAAGACCAGACGGCATGTAACGTACAAAATGCTCCACTGAAGGCGAAACGGAGACGTACTGAATATATGGACTGATACGGTTTATATAGTCAGTGTTAACAGAATTCAAACACAAGGACCCCAAAACACAGACATGTACTAATGTAATGACCACAAGAGGAATTAATCTAATAATAAGTAAAACAAACAAAAAAAAAATACTGACAAAAACAATTGTCTTAAAGTTGAGCACAATGAATAAAATCATATGTTTATCTAAAGAAATCTTAAGCAGGGAGATAATCACTTCTTTTTAAATATTTAATTTTAATAAAGCTTTTATAGTTATGTTGACACAACAAACCCCATTCATTTATTCTCAAAACACATTCATTCATCAGATTTTATGCTGTTTTTTATTTTCCTTTTTTTTTTTACATGGCATGCCAGATAAACCATCCAGAGCCAGTCAAGTTTAGTTTTTTTTTTGTCTTGATATGAACTTGGTCTATTGAAGACTGAGCCACCAACTAACTATTGGACACAGCACATACAATTCCCCCTTATGTAAAAGACTTTATGGCTTTTGGTGCAGTACATGGTATTTATATAATGCACCATGGTTTGTTACAACACCTTTAATATTGTCCTGCAGCAGCTTGGGTCTATAATTTGTTGAGGGTAATGACTCCACCGATTGATCGACCTGAACAAATCAGTGTGATTTGTTTTCCTGTTCATGTGACAGGTGTGACTAACAGCAGCTTAGAACAGTGGTTAGTATAACACCAGGCTTTTTGCTTCTGGCTCAGTTTGTGTCTCTTCTCAGGTTTTGATTCAGTTTTTCTTCCACTCCCTGTAAAATAAAATGTAGTTCATAATATGATATGATGTGTAATAGTCTTAAATATGTCACCTGCAGCAACAGGTTTTATATGTGACAGCACACAGGTCTGTCTGTGCTAATTTGGTGTATTTTTATCCGTTGTGATCAAATTACAAAATTAATTTGAACATCTGGGAGATAAAAATGGAAAATGCGATTTAGCCGCACGTCACTGTAACACATTCAGCATGTGTTCTGAGGATGTTCTGCAAAAATTCTTACATAACAGTTTGAGACAGCTCAGCACCTCTCCAATGAGAGTTATGCAACTTAAAGAACCAATATTATCCAGCTGTGGCAGCCAACCCATGTTTGATTTCTAGTACTGGTTATTGGATTTTTTTTAGGTCCACATCCAGTGAGAGGAGGGATAATCTTTGTTTAATCTTTTCATGGAGGCAGAAATAGCAAGCAGACATGTGTTTGGGGAGGGATGAGGAAGTAGGTTGGCATATATTTAGCCTGATGATTTGCATGGCTCTCCAAGCCACTTTTGTAAAGGCAGCACCCAATAATGAATATCACCCTTTAGAAACATTTAAAACAAAAGGACAGATCCAAACAGGACAGAAGCAAATAATGTGTAAATGATGAGGCAAAGAAACTATCTATTCTTCGATGGGTTATGTGAAATTAGCTTTTCCAAATACAATATTGAATAAGCTTTACTCTCTCTGTTCTTTTATTAATAAAGCTGATGTTGAATGTAAATAATGAATCTTCTTCATACACCAGAGGTAGTCATGGAGTTCCTCAGGGTTCAGTGCTTGGAGCAATACTCTTTACCTTATATATGCTTCCATTACGGAAAGTTATTAAACAGCATGGGATACAATTTCATTGTTATGCTGATGACACACAATTATATTTGTCCATGAAACCCAATGAATCCAATCAGTTACTTAATTTACAAGCATGTCTTAAAGACGTAAAAACCTGGATGACCCTAAATTTTCTGCTTTTAAACTCAGACAAGACTGAGGTTTTGGTTTTTGGACCTGAGCATTTTAGGAATACATGTTTCAGTCTTTCTCCCTCCTTAGATGACATTAATCTGTCCTCCAGCTCTAATATTAAGAATCTTGGTGTTATTTTTGATCAGGACATGTCTTTTATCCCCCACATTAAAAATGTTACCAGAACTTCCTTTTTCCATCTGCGTAATATCAATAAAATTAGAAACATCTAAAAATGATGCAGAAAAACTGGTTCATGCATTTGTCACGTCTAGACTGGACTATTGCAATGGTTTATTATCTGGGTGTCCAAATACTTTTAAAAAAAAAAGTCTTCAGTTAATCCAAAATGCTGCTGCCAGCGTCTTAACTGGAGTTAGTAGTAGAGATCATATTCATTCAACCTTTATTTAGACAGGTTAATCCCATTGAGCCTCGAGGACTCATTTACAAGAGACCTGATTTCAACAAAGAATGATGACAACAATGGACAACAGCGACAAAAGACAATTATAAAAGAGGCATACAGATTATTTTTTTACAAATTAAAATAAGATGGCAAAAAAATTGGCAAAAACAGCTAGATTATAAGGCGAATGTAGAAAACTAAAAACAGGAACATGTCTGCATTGGTCCTTGCCAGGAGTCCAACAGATGCTTAAAGCCACTTAGAGAGATCAAGGTCGAAAGCTTCAAATCTTTTTGTACGATATTCCAGGAAACAGGAGCGGAGTAGGAGAAGGCCCTTTTGCCAAGTTCAGTCTGCACTGAGGGAACACTGCAGGTAATAATGTCCTGAGAGTGCACACTGTATCTCTCCAGTTTTAGCTTCCCTCCAGTGGCTCCCTGTCAAGTCCAGAATTTAATTCAAAATCTTACTTCTAACCTACAAAGCTCTCAACAACCTAGCTCCATTTTATATTCAAGATCTTATTGTTCCATATTTTCCTAACAGCACTTCACTCTCAGACTGCAGGTTTACTTGCAGTTCCGAGTTTTCAAAAGCAGAATGGGAGGCAGATCTTTCAGTTATTAGGCTCCTCTCTTGTGGAACCAACTTCCAGTTTCTGTCCATGAGGCTGACACATTGTCCAGTTTTAAGACTGGGCTTAAGATTTTACTTTTTGATAAATCCTATAGTTAGGGTTGGCTTGTTATGCTGCCATAAGCTTAAACTACTGGAGGACAAATCAACCTCATTTGTTAAAATTGAATAGCTTTCATTTGATATTATTTCTATCAACGTGATTCTCGATCTGCCATTGTGTATCTGTTCTTACCAAACCCAGTCGGTTGAAGCAGATGGCCACTTGTCCTGAGCCTGGTTCTGCTAAAGGTTTCTTACTCACGAGGGAGTTTTCCTTTCCACCGTTTCCTTCATGCTTGCTCAAGATGAGAGTTCTGTGATGGAGTTCAACTCAAAGCAGTCTGCTCCTCAGATGAATAATGTTATTAATTTACTTTTATATACCGGTATATGTTTCTGTTCAGTGCCCTGAGATGACTTCTGTTGTGACTTGGCACTTTAATAAATAAACTGAATTGATATTCCAAAGAAAGTCTGTCCATGTTGTAAATGGTTAGATCTTGTCATTCCATTTGGGTTTTATATATAGAACTAGTTTTTGAGTGAAACTTTTAGGCTTTAAAATATATTGTGGAAATGTTTTCTAAGAACACTTCAAGCGTTTCAAATGGTGCACAAGTTAAAAAGTAAACTGTGAATGGTGAATGTGACCAGAAAGACAACAAGGAAAGGAAAAAAAAAACCACTGCCCCGGAGCACTGAGTGGTGTTTGTCCAGGCCTCTTTTGTTGTCTGTGCACACATTGAACCATTGACTGGAGCTACCCAAGCATGCAAGGCTGTCCTGACCTGCAACCAGTTTTTAGACCAATTAAAGGAACTGTAACACTTCAGCAGTGACTAATGAGCAGAAAATCAGGCTTCAGTCTTGTTCTATGATCATTTATGAAGGATTGAACTTCACAGGCCTTTGTAGTTCAGCAAAGATGGACATTTAAAGTAAAAAAAAATAATAATCCAAATGGCTATTTACGTTATTTTTTTTTAGGTGTAAAAGAAGATCAGAAAGTTTAAAAGTACAATTCCAAAAAAGTTGGGATGAATTAAAAACAATTGTGATTTTCCTCCTTAGATAGAGAACTTTACTAATTGGCTTT